AGGCTGAAGTTCCCTGCGGCTTATTTAAATTTGCTTACTTAAAGAGTAGCTGGTCAGAAGAATAGATTTGTTGCCCATTTAGGCTGGCTGAACAAAGCCTAAAGCAAAAGGCTGAATTAGGATAAATTTCATTTAAGGCTGTAATGTCACTTGCCCCTTCTCACTTTTTTCCTCCGTTGTGTCCTGCAGACTGTTCTATTTCTGCTGTCTGAACGCCTTCCTCTCTGGGGGCAATATCTGCTGTCATGCAAAAGCTGTGTTGGCTCAAGATGAACAGATAAAATTGAACCTCCCTCTACTGTCCTTACTTCATCTCCAATTCTTCCTTCTTTCCCTGCCACTTCTCGTCTCCGCTTTGCTCCCTCACAGCTTTCATCTCACCAGCTCTCTGCCCTTCACCTCTCGTAGCTCTCCTGCTGCTGGGTCTGCTCTCCCACCATTCCTCAGCACCTCACTCCTCCTTCAGCTCAGAACTGGCACTTTTTCATTCCTCTTCACAGATCGAGGGCTCCCCCCTCTTTCTGTTCCACTTACAGCCTAATACATACTAGTCTCTGAGTCCCAGCAGCCACTAAAAATCCTGGCCTCTCTCATTTATCTGTCATGGTCTCCCTCTCACGCACCTTTTCTGTGACTCAGGGGCTCTGAAAAACAAGGCAGGAGCACTCAACCTGTGGTCAGTCCTCTGTGCTATGTCAGAAAGTCTGCTGCAATTTTCCGGCAGTCTCTTTGCGTCTCACATGGCTCGGTTACCCCACCAATTAATGAAAAGCTCTGTTTGTCACACCGGCAGGATGTGTTACTGTCCCTAACATTGACTGACACCAGGACAGAGCCACTGTCCTGAGGCTCTGGTAATAGGATTTCAAGAAATGCTGTCCCTTCATCTGTCAAAAAAGTAATTCATCAGGTAACTGTGTGGGCAATCCAACCCCCTCCAATTATGAGCCCGAATTTGTCATATAATGAAGCAAGCACTCAATCAGCTGAGTCACTGTACATAAAGATATATTACAGAAGATGCTTCACAATGCATCTAACGACTTTTACCCCTAACTATATAAATTTGACAGATTAGTCATTATATGACTGAAAAGAAAAATAAATGTAGTTTGAGTGTAAAAAATCTAACCTCTGCAGCTTGATATTCCTTGCAAGTCAAATACGCTGGATTGTGTTGAATTGCTGGTTCCCAGAAAATGCTGCAACAGATCTGTACTGGTCCTCAGCACTTCCTCCCAGTTAGTTGACCACGACTTTTCAGTAAGCAAAGAGACGGCTGCCACTCTCGCATTTCATTATCAGTTGAACACATCCTTTGCTCTAATGGGGTCCAATCCAAAGCTCTCCACATCAGCCCGCTTGAGAGCAAGTTTCTGAAGATTACTGTATCACGTCTCCTTTGCAGCACATGTCTCACATGATGTGAAAATGTTTGGCTTGACAGGAACTACAGATATTATCCTCCCCTCTTAGTACTTCAAAATCCTCACTAAAGACACTGTGTGCGTGTATGTGTGTACAGGTGAGAAAGGACATGGGCAGGCATGAAACTCAGTGGATCTCAGGCTGTGGGGTGCTGCAGACCACCCGAAAGGCAAGGTGCCTTCAGGAAATCCTCGGGAGCAGTGTGAGACTTGTGGCTGGCAGGGGCACAGGGCTGAGGACAGAGTTGGGCTGAGCTGGTCTGCCCGGGGCAGCCCAAATATATATATGTACGTATTTGTGTATATATATACAAATATATAAAAAAAGCAACAGCTGCATTACCACCTTTATATCAGATAACTAACAGCTTCCTATGCCCTATACCAAAACCCTGGCCTATTCTCTCGCACATATTTGCCCGTGACTTCAGTGGGTGCTGGATCAGGCCCTGAGGCTGCCCTGTCCACAGCACTGTGCACTCTCCCACGTTCCCATCGGTCCGTTTGAAAGGAGGGCATTGATGAGTCTCCATAATGCAGCCATTACCAGCATGATACTGAGACAGATCAATCAAAGGCAACACAACAGCCAGATTCAGAGGATTCCAAAATTGAGGTCAGACTCAATAACTCTTAGACAGATGCCAAGAGAGAGAGACACACATATATACAGGAAGGCAAATTTTAACTCTGCAAACCTAAAAATGTCACTTGCAGTGATGGATTGGATGTGTTTTTGGCAAGAACTGTTTTTTCCTCCCCCCTTACCACCCCTCGCCTCTGCATCAGTGTTGGCATAAGGTGCCTGTGTGCTGGTGGCCTGACTCTAACCTTCCTATTAACACGCAGCCCTCGGATTTTACGGCACCAGCCCTGCAAACGGGTGCCCTAATGCTTTGCTGTGCCCCGAAGGGACTATGACACTGCTGCAGGGTATCTCTCCCTACGAGAGGCCCATCTCATGGCTAAACCGCAGCTCCTGGGTCAGTCAGGTGCTGGAGAACTTCCTTAGGTGAAAAGCCTAAAAATGTAACTGAACTCTCATCAGCAGGCAACAGGCAGCTGCCTGGGAAATGCCCTGTTCATACTAGTGCTCTGCTGTGGAAGAGCTGGCTGTTGCCATTTCTGGGGATTTATGGACTTCAATATGAAGGCTGAGAAGACAGAGATTTTCCTAGGTTATAGTGCTAGACTCGTACCAGGAAAAATAAAATCCCTGTAAATCCATCCAGTCCACAGTTTGGCTTCATTATCTCAGTCGACGTTGGCTTCCTGTGCATTTTCTCCTCAGCTGTTTGGAGTCAGTAAGCTACTAGAAATGATTACATGATTCACATTATTGGTAATTATGTGTATTAGAGTTGCATTTAAAAACCCTACCTGACACAACACTCCACTGCAGTTAAAATTTACAAACACAGCAAAGATGACTGAAGTTCATGGTGAATGGCAATCCTGATTTCAAGAACAAATTCTGAATCAAACACCAAAAATCCACCTCTACGTTTCTGCTTCACAATACATTAAGTATATTGATCTAGTAAATACTAGTGTAAAATGGTAACACGCACCTCAGTCCCTTTCTATAACTACAGTGAGTGAGTCGCCAGCACGCTTCTCCTTCAAAAAGAGGAGAACAATTAAAAATATATCTTAAGTATCCTAAGATACTTTATGGTGCATTAATTAAATATAGGCTTAGCCAGTGTGTGAATGTGTAGTGCAGAACTTTCCAGTGAGCTAGGAATTCACGCAGGAAGTTTCAGGGACTTTTCTGGTGTTCAAGGACAAAGATGTCATGAGATATGCTATATTAAGACTCCCAAACAAAACCTGTGTGTAACAACAGTAAGTCACCACACCAGAGATCTTGCAATCTAAGCAGACAGTGAGAAAAGAGCAGGGGAGGAGGAATTGAGGCCACAACGTGGTGACTGAAGTGAATTTCACCCAGATTCAGAGTAGTCTTGCTCCCTCTACGCATGTGTGCCCCCAGTCCTGCTACATGCCCTAGATCACACTGCCTCATTTTTTTCTTGTTCTGCTATTTAAGCCCTCCCCTCAAAAAGCAGTACGAAAATATACTGCTACAATGCCTGCTGACAGGCAGCGGTGAGTTCCTGCTTCCTTTCACCTGTTAGCTGCAAACTCCTCAATTAAATATTCAGATCTCTCTAAGACTCTGATCACCACTCAGAACCTGAGCTTGAGAGAGCCTGAGAAAAGCACTTCTTTCTATCCTTTCTAAGAAGAGGAGATTCTGTAAAGTTATTGCCACTTCTCCATGTGTACGGGTGGGGCTTGTGCATGATCATGTGAAAAATCTGTTGCAAAGATGACAAACACACTCATTCTCTCCCTGGCCCACATCAACCCCTAACAACTGCAGCACCTTACCTCTGTGATTCCTGCATACCTGCTCCTGTTTATTTGCCAACTAAGCGCAGCACAAAGTTCGGTTACAAGTAAGAGACAAGCCCTTGTTATCGTTCCCCCAAACAATCATCAGCAGTATGCTCACCTGAATGATTACACAAGATTTCTTTTACCTTCGGCTTTCAAATTTTTGCTAACTGCAAGAAGAGACTCTTATTTACTTTTAGCAGAGAGATCCATTTCCAGTACCATTGCTTATGAAATCACTGCATGGTCCAAGAGCCTTAAAATTCTCCAGCTGCTGAGAAATTATGGATAGCATCTCCAAATGCTGTCAACAGCCAACAAACATTGCAAAGAGAGATTTTTTTAGCATGCATGGATGGATGCATCAAGGGCAGTTGTGTCTGTACAAGAGAAATTTCTCTTGCACTGTGCATTTGGGGTTTAAAGTGGGAACTCTGCACAGAAAGAATTAGCATTTGCTTCTAAAACAGGAGACTTGCCTTGCGTATTTCATTTTGACACAGTCACACTTTCTTCTTTCTTTCCCACCCCTCAAGTAACAAGCTGAATCCTAAAATCCTAACATAGTTTACAAATAGATGAAGTCCCAGTGAGTATCCAGTGAAATATGCCTGGGCAAGGGCGAAGAAATGCTGTTGCTGAATTGTGGTATTCTTGGTCAGATTGAACACCACGTTATTCTGCAAATAGCTGGTAGTTTCAAGAAGGTGTTGTTACTTGTGAGCAATAACAGGAGAACCCATCCTTCATATACACACAAAGGCATGCATGAGCAACATGAGCTATCCGTGCACAACAGCCGAGTGGTTTCCACCTCCTTCCCAGTTCAGAGTGGCTGAGCAGCTGCTCTACACCAGCCTGTTCACTTCTCCCCAGCGAGATGACCCCGACCCATCTATCAAGATGCACTAAGACACTGTCATGCCTTTCCTGAAGTCTTCTCAGAGCATTGCCCAGGATGCTGGGAAAGGATGTAAGCTATGCAAACTTAGATGAAAAGGCAGCCCTTGCTGTGAAGAGCTGATGCCCTTCTAAGGCACATGCTCCCTCACATCAGCTCTCTCTTGCCCCAGGGCACACTTGGCTCCAGCTGACATCTCCCCATGGAGAAACACTATTCCATGGCCTGCAGAGCTATGTGTTTCATGGCAGGGCCCTGAGGTGTATTACCTGCGGTCTCCCTGTCCCCTGCTGACAGCTCTCCATTGATCCCGTTCTCTTTGGTCCGAGCGTACGTCCCTGGCTGCTCGTGGCCGCCCAGCCCCGACTCCTCGTCCTCTCGGTAGGGAAATCCATTGGCACTTCTGACCAGTCCTGCACTCGCGCTGCCCTGTTCCTTAATTTCAGGTGAATGTGGGTGTGAAGAAGTCTCTGTTAGCTGACCCGAAGTCCAGTGCGGTGCTTTGGCTTCTTCTCTCCTATCCTCCGCCATGGCTCCTTGCCTTCACTGCTTGGCCTGTAACGACATTAGCAGGAGAGATCAGCTCCGAGTGGGTGACCGTGCCCCTCACTGTCAGGCAGCGACCAGATGCAGCACAGGCATGTTACCTGCAGTGCTGCCAGGGAAACGTGCATCTGACAGGTGAGAGAGGGTTTAAACGCAGAAGTGTCTGCTTCTCCTTCCTGAGTATGAGCAAAGTGCTTTAAAATCAGAACAAACAGCAAGCAGTAAGCAAGCAGTAAGCAGTAAGTCAAGTCCTCCTTGACTCTCATACGCCTTGCAATTACTAGCAACATGTTTTTGAGCGCTGCCCTTTTGTTCATCTGATTTTAACTCGTTAATTACAGTTAAATGTTGACTCACTTAATGAGAAGTGAACTAGTCATCATAATGCAATGACACCTTCCAGGGGTGATAAAAGGGAAGAATGCCACAGCTGCTAAAAGAGGTGAAGCTGCTATTGCAATTTTCTTTGCAGTTGAAAATTGCCGCTGCTCTTCGGGCACAGACAGCAGGGCAATCCGTCCTTTGCAGCACGTGCAATCTGCTGCTAGCCATGACAGAAACCACGTCTGAGAACACTCAACGGGTTCCTGAACATATGTGCTATTTAACCCTGTTTATACACCCTCTTACTTGCTGTTTCATGAACGTTCACACTCATTCCCTTTTGTCCAAAACAGCCTGTGGGGAACAGCTGTTTCCCACACAAGCATTTGCATTCTCTTATGACTATTAGTATTTATACATAAACAAACCCAATCATTATTTGCTACTTCACACATTATTTCACTCCTGTTAATTAGCTCTCATTTGTCCAAGCCAGGAAAAAAAGTCACTGCAAAAGCTATAGGCTTTGACTACTCCTCACAGAAAAATGTAGTAGTAGCTCCTCAGTATTTAAGCCTAGGAAGATAACATAACATAATCTGTGTTTTGACAGCAAGATAACCTCTGAGGGGGGGGGAAGAAAGGCTTGGCTTGAGCTAGCTACTTCCAAGTGAAAACCAGCAGGCCTTTTCTAAAAGCACTTGCCACCTTTTGTTCACTGGGAGAAAAAAATCCAAACCACCAACTAAAAGATATCAGCTGAATACAGTCAACCAGCACGTATCACAGAGGCTGAGCAGTCTAGAAAAGAAGGCACAAAACTGGGCGGTGCATATACTCTGCAGATATTTAACAAAAACCAGCCAAAACAGAAAAACTCCACTAGTTTCCACAGAGTCAGATCAGTTTCCAGAAACCTCTAAACATGAGAAAAAACTTGTTATTTGTGAGATAATCATTCACAATTGGTAATTCAATCCCTTTCAGACTGGATATTATTGTTTAATAATAGCAGCTTTCAAAGATACTTTAAAAATCACAGTGAAACATGAAAAATTTATTTAACTCACAATAAATATGTGACTCAAACTGTAGTTCCATGCTAAAAAGTACCAATAACTCTTTTGCCCCCTGGTGAAACCATGGTGTTTTGGGAAGCACAGCTCCATCTGCTCTTTTCCTGACCCAGCACCATTCCCTGGGGATAACCAGTTGTGTGAAGGCTGCGGGAGTAGGTGAAACTTCAAATGCAGTGTTTCCTCTGAGCTGTAATGAAAATGACGGGCTGAGCAGTATCACAAAGCTCAGTGTCACTGAGACATGCCTCAATCAACCACACAACCAGTAAACACGCTCCGTATCTCTTTGCCTTCCCTGCCTCCTTTACCCTGATGGCAGACTCATGGGTGAGCCACTCTGCACATACAGCAAGAGCCTTAATGAAGCCATTTCAACCCATACCAGAAATGCTGACTGAGTAATTACAAAGGAGAGACCAAGGTGGGCAAAGACCATCTCCTATGTACCAAAGAGATGACCCTCAGCCTCTAGGTCTGTTTTCTGATCAGGGCCTTTCCAAAACACAAGGCCATGGGACAAACATCTCTGTCCACACAGGAACGAGTAGCACACATCCAAAGCTACCAACACTCAGGGTCCAAGGACAGAACAGAGTCCGAGAAAGCTCAGATTAAAAAAAAACAAATGAAAACAAAACAAAAACCCCCAAAAGGCAAAAAAAAAGAAAAGCAAAAAAAACCCCAACCAAACAAAAAAACCCTAAACCCTAACTCAAGGCCTTCCCCACCAATCCAATGCCCTTTGAACACGCTGGGCAACTTTGGATTCAATTTTAGGGGGCCGGTTAGCTCAGTCAGTTGAGCACAGCGCTAACAACGCTAAGGCTGGGGGTTCGATTCCCGTTCGGTCCCCATGTGTTGCTTGATCTAGTTGAGAGGCGACGTCCCTGGTGGCAGGGAGGCTGGATTAAAATGATCTCTAAGGTCCCTTCCAGCTTAGGCCATTCTATGAAATGATAGTGAGCCTCAGGAGCAGTAGGAACCTGCTCATCAGCTTCGGCCATTCAGCCCCTGGGTCACCCATGAGAGGAACCCAGAGCCTCGGCAGGGGGAGGGAGGGTTACACAAGACCAGAGCGTGGGGAATGTGGTACTGAAAATCACTGGGATGAACTATATCGCATCAGTGTAGTTTGGAGACTATTATCCCTGAAGTGCCCTTCCCCATTCCAGGCAGACACTCCCTGCTTCACTTGAAGCTCTTGAGGAAGGATATTCACATCCTTACAATGGACTGTGTCACAGAAGTCCTCTGTGAAAGTAACAGAAGTGCTTTTATCTTTAAAAATAAATACAGTGGGCAGGCTTCAATGAGAGCTATGTGTATCTGGAGGCAGAATTTGGCTCAGTATTTATAATAGATGGTTACAGAGTGAAACATGGATGAATTCATTCTTGCTTCTCTGTTATTCATCAAGTGCTCTCAGAGTTTATAATGGTAGTAGAAACACAGAGAGTGAGTCACACAATGCATCTTTGTACTCAGCAATTTAGCAATGACTATCTGCTGTACGGGGTGATTCATCCACAGCTCAGGTTCAAATCCAGAATACACAGGTGTGCTTTCTGCCATCAGGTTAGCTGTTTTTCTGTCATTTCATTAGCATACCATGGAATTAAATTAATCAGCTAATTTAAATATTGACACAGAAATACCAAGAGTGGACAAATATTTTGGCAGAATTTAAATAACATTAGGTACATAAAGAAAACTGGAATAGCTTGGACAATCTAGGGAAACACTTCAGGGAAGCAAAAAGTTCCTCTTTCCACCATGATTTCCTTATTCTTTGCATAAACAGCAATGAGGGCTTTAAAAAAATACCAGAAAAGAAGTCACAGCCAGTCCTCTAAAAAGTCATGTTTTCTTAGTTAAAAATTAATTTGAGTATTTATAAGCCTTTCTTTCCTACCCATTAGAGCAGGACACCATTATCGGAGAATATGTAGCAGTAATCTTACTAATATGTTCTCACTCTTTTTCTCCTCCACCAGCTGAAGTTAGTGGCAGTGAGAGGGTGACCGAGGCAAGGGCGGAGGTGTTCGAGGGCTGTATCAGCCTTGGCTGCACCAACGCTTTGGCAAAGCCAAAGCCATCATGGTGACACCACGTCAGTATGCCACAGGGCACAAGTACAAGCTTGTGTGAGCTGCACAGCTTGGGATTGTGGAAGCACTCCTCCCTCAGTGTGTTCCTCACCTTGAAGTCTGATCAAAGCCAGCTGTGCAAAATCGACGTATGAGAGCAGAAGGATCTTGCAGGTGTTGTTCAGCACCACAGACCACATCAGTGATACTGACACACTTCTGGGTCCCTCCCCAAAAGGCTTTCCTTGTCCAGATTGACATGGAAGATGCTGCTGAGACCCTGGCCACTCCCTGTCCGCAGAGACCATGCTCCACCAGCAGCTGCCAGCAGTAATGGAATAGCAGTGAAGAGACACTTCACAGACCTTAAATCTTTGTCTCTGTAACTCAGGCAGTACACCAGGAATGGCATTATGGATCTGAACTGGACATTCTGCCTTCTAAACGAATAACTTCTAACAGAAGTGATGGCAAAAAATTCCCCCATCCTTTTCAGCCATTTGGGAACATATAGAGACAGAAAACGCTTTAATAAAAACCCCTGGAATTAACACATGGGGACAAACCTCGCGGGGAACGTGTGGTTCAACTTTGCAGTAACCTTCTCCTTTCGCAGGCACTGTACATGTATTTCTTAAGCCATACGCTCTTTTATGTGACACTACCTTCTGCTGCCAGGGCTGAGTTGAACCAAGCCTGACACACAAAGCACTTGGTGTTGAACTCAACATGCAACAAATCACCCACAGTAATACAGCATGGGACTGTGATAAGAAAAACCCAAGATAATACTGATTTAAACATCCTGTCATGCTAGCTGTCCTTCTATATATGAGTACATGTTGCAGAATCATCTTAACATTATATTAACATTGCCTTTGCATGTAAGCAGATGAATTTGCTACAGATTTCACTTTTTAAGAGAACAGAATTAGGCTAATACTGAAGGATTTTGCAAATACCCTGCCTTCCTACCTTCAAGTCATGTCATTACCTACTCCTGCGCCTACGAGGCCATTCACAGTGAAATGAGGCTATTTGATTTCAGGGAAGCTAATTCATTAGCTAAGAGAAACAGTCATCTGCTTACATGGAAGAAGAACTACAATTCCAACTCAGAGGAGAAAATAACACTGGAGGTTCCTGAAAGGAGAGACTACAGACTGCTCCAAAAGAAAATATAAACCTGGGAGAAGGCATGGCCAGATCCTGAGATCAGTGGGAGGGAGAGGGCAAAGGAAGGGGCCCCTGTATGGCTGCAGGGCCAAATCCTGCTTCCCAGAGGACTATTTAGCTCAGATACATCATAGCATTGAGTTGGCTCCCGAGTTCGGAGCCAGGAGAAAGAGGGAGACTGCTCCATGGAGGCAAGCGGGGGTGCCAAGGTGTGGTTAGCAGGGCCTCAGGCATCCAGAGCTTCCAAATCTCCTGAATAAGACTGCCTTAAAGAGACTTTTAAATGAAATTTAAGGAATTCATATAACTTCTTTCAGAG